AACACAATCTAGTGTTTGTCACCTCCAGCGCCTCCAAACGCTGTTTCGTAGTCCTCNAAATCCGTGCGGACGAAAAGAAATTTGATCATAATTTAAAGAAAGCTTACAACATGAAATTGAAATGTATTGAAATAAACTTGATTATTGATTGCTTGAAAACTGAACATTACAATAGATGAAAGCAGGAAATTACAATGGCTAGTGTAGGGGGCGAACACTAGAAAGTTTGAAAATGTTTGAAAGACTAATACCCCTAAAATAGACTAAGCAACAAAAACCTAATTGACGGGAGTAGACGTAAAAAAGCCGATGAATCATACTAAACATTTCTAATTTCCAACTATTTTACAATTAAATGAAATATTTACAATGTGCAGCTGAAGTTGGGCAAACTGCGGCTGCGATAGGATCACGGGGCTTAAGTAAAGCTACTGCCCGTGACACCTAGGCTGGGCATCAACGGCCCAATCTCATTACAAAAAATAAAAAATAAATAAATAAACAAAGGAGAAAGAAGACGAACTAGAGGAGAAAAGGCAGAACCAAACCAGGCGCCGGCGGTGGCCATCTTTATTCTTCTTTCCAAAACTTTTCCGCCGGAGCCTAGCACGTGCGGCCACCCCCCTAGCCGGGTGTTGGGTCCGCCACTGATTATAATATTCTTTTGAAATTCTCATATTTTAAAATATTTATATTATCCTTCTTCGAGAGGAATAAACTATTCTTCTAAAATATTAATAGCAATAACACTATATTTTTTTGAAATATTTACATGATGTGGGTTGTATTTCTTCAAGAATATCAACACCATATTCATTTAGAAAAAGTACAATTTTATAGTTATGATTCTTCAGGAGCATAAATATCAATGAAGATTTGTACACCATTCAAAAAATTATTCATATTATATATTCTTCGAGAATATTAACGATCATAAAGTTGTACTCTTCAAGAGTAATAATACCATAATATAAACACGTACTTCTTCAAGAGTATTAGTTAAATCAAAATAATTAATCGATCTGATACTTCACAAATATGATATATAATATAATAAAAAAATTTAAAGAATAGATTTACTTGGATTTGACAGATTTAAAAAACTTTATGAACGCGATAAAAATATTATGAACTATTGCTCTAATTTAAAGCTTTAGAGAACCTTGAATAGTTGACAAATCTCATGTTCTTTAATGATGCAAACTTGCAAATTTTTTGTAGTACTTTAAAAATTAGTTGTTGTTCACGTAATTATTTATCACGAATGAACTATTTGATTTTTTTATCTTATATAAATTTCATGATGATCGGACCTTGAAATGCTGAGTATCAACGTTTGATCATAGGTGCACATTTTGTCCAGATTCTACGAATTTTCTACACTGTTGGTCTAAAAAATTCTCTCTATTTTGATTGATCTCTTTTGTGTTAATAACGTCTAATAAAACTAAGATATAAAGAAGATTAATTTAATAGATTGTAGAGAAAAGTAGAAAGATAGAGTTAAAACTCAAATGTATATTTTATTATAGCAATAACCCATATTTATAGGATTCAATGTTAGTTACAATCGGAATAGAATATATCTTCTAAACTAAATAATACTTATCTAAGTATCCTGATAAGAATAAATACTCAACAATAATTATCTCATAAATTTACAATAATTTGGTAGTTGAAATGAAGAGTGACTTTTTAAAGGCAAAATATGAACTTTATTAGAGCACTTTTGGTATAAATGGTTTGAATTATAAATAAATAAAAATAAGAATTGAGTAGTATTTATGAGTTTCTTGAAATGTGTAGATAAAAAATATTTATAAATAATTTATAAACATGAGCCAAACATGGGCTTAATCAAGAACAACAAAAGCCAAAATATTTACGAAAAATAATGTGGGCCTATCTATTAGAAAACAATTTTAGAAACTAATACGTGCATATTTTGCCAATAAATGAGCCATATGTCTATAATTTGGGTTCACAAAAAGTGGATTCTGTTGACCCCAAGTCCATCATAGTTATGTGATAAACAGATGCTCGGTCTACTGGTGTCCACGCAGGCAAATTCCAACATGTTTTAACCGAAGATTCGAACGGAGACATTTATGGACATGAGAGTGCTTTACGATCAAGACAAAAATGTTCAAGCACGGCAATATAATCAAAGATGATTGTATATAAATAAACAATCACAAAAAACTCTACCCAAATAAAAACAAACTTAACTTAAGCAAATAGATAGAGAATAAGTAGAGAAAAAACTGAATATGCTTTCGAGTGTAAAGAATTACATTAGGTTCAAATGTTACAAGATTTGTTTATTTATAGACTCATGACCAACGTCATAATCGTTGCATAAGAATCATGTGGCATCATCTCCCAAGTCGAAGCATCACATCATTCAACATGCTATATATTTAATACATTGACAACATGTCAGCCACTCTATACTTTAGGCTGGCAATCCTTACATTCTTCATCATTAACGTTACATCAATTATTCAAAAAGATTACCTGCAGATCCTCTAAAAGACATCAAGGGTTTCGGCCAAAAAGGGCCTCGGATGGAGCAAAGACTTCGACCTAAGGGGCTTCAGTTAAAGGGAGCTTTGGAAGTGAGCATCAGCTTCTTCTTTGACTTCTTTTTTTGACCAATTGAATATTTGTTGATTTAGTCAAACTTAACTTACATATCCACATGGACTGTGATGTGGTCTTCAATTGGAGTTTTGGTGGTAAGGCGTAGCAATATTCTCCCAAGTCTATGCATGATTATTCATGTAATGCATAGACTTCAAAAAGTAAAATTTTGTTGGGGTAGTTATTCTTACACACCACAATATTCCCCTAAATATAAATATAAATATTATAATAAGGAATTTTAAAGTAGAATTATATGAGTAACCCGAGGTACTTATCGTGGTTGTTGTCCAAAGCTGTTTACTTTGGAGTTTCTGTAAAATGGTGGTGCTTTCAAGTTAAATTCACGCACAATTTGAAGTTCTGCAAGACGAAAGGTTTATAGACCCGTAACGATATTGTAATTGATTTGAGTTGCTTGAGAATCGGATACTACAAAATCTTAGAATCAAGTGAAATGACAGGAATTTTGAGGGCGTGCTATGGGATCTAATAATCTAGTAATTTTTCAACTTTAAATCATCATTTTCCCATCAACAAATATATTTCTTAATAATAGTTACAGCGAAGTCCCGATAAAGTGACACATCATCATATCCCATGAAATTTTACGTATTACAATTTGTTTTGTTTCATCATCAATAAATAAAAAAGATATTTTGAAATTAATAAACAAGTTACATTAAAGTGAACTGGAAGGAAAAAAAATGAAGAAATTGTAGTTATCAACCAAAATTGTTCATTTCATGTTTGAGTTTTTCCCAAATCATTTTAAATGGTTCGGTTTAAGTTTGAAACTTTATAACCGTTTTAGAAGATTTTATTTGAAAATATGTCAAAAAAAGTTACGTCCATGCCAAGAACAATCTATTTTTCTTTTGTTTTTTCGTTCTCTTTTTCATTTTCCTTTTTTCATCTATTTGTTAATAAATATAAAAATGTGATTAAATTAACCTTTCTATATAAGTGGTCGCGTGCAGAATATGTTCTATTTTAACGAATGTTTTTATATTGTTCATACATATAGACTAACATGCACCAAAAGTGAATGTATGAGATCTAAATGATAATATTATTATATTGGGGACCCAAGTTTTCGAAATAGTATAGTCAGGGAACCGTTTGGTGAAAGGTTCCCTCAAAATCGAATTTCTTTATTGGTTAAATATATCAATGACTACCCAACTTTATATTTACTGTCATTATGACCACTCAATTTGATGTTGTTTCAACATAACCACCAACTTTATATTTAATGTCATCATAGCCACCCTAATTTCATATAACGTATTACCACGACCACTTAGTTTTATATAACATTTCATCACGATTATTCAATTTCTTTTCACAATTTCACTAATTTTAAAATGGGTAAAATGATAATTTTGTATTATATATATATAATAAATTTTAAAAAACACGTTAATTTTAAAATACGTTTTTATTTTATTTTTTTTTTGAAGGAAAGTTTTTGTAAAATAACTTTTTATTTTATTTTTCTAAGTAACTTTTTTTTAAAAAAAGTAAGTTTTTATTTTATTTTATTTTTCTAAGTGACTTTTTTTAAATAAGTTTTTATTTTATTTTATTTTAAGTAACTTTTTTTAAATAAGTTATTTTTTAAAATAATTTTTTATTTTAAATTTATTTTTTATATATAATGCAAAGTTAACGTTTTACCCCTTTAAAATTAATGAAAAAAGGTGAAAAGAAGTTGGGTGGTCATTGTGAAATTTTATATGAAATTGGATGATCATTGTGAAATAAAATCAATTGGATGGTCATGGTGACACAATATAAAGTTGGATGGCCATGATGAAGCAAAACCAAATTTAGTGATCATGATGACATCAAGTATAAAGTTTGGTGACTATTGATAGATTTACAACTCGTTTGGCCCCGTTTCTTTCAATTTTTGTTTGGAACCGTATTTTTTGGAGAATTGTGGTTCAAAAAGAAAGATTTTTTTTTATTTATGTATAATATTATTTTATAGAAGATTATGTGGTTGAAAATAAGGCCATGTTTGGGAGGGATTAGATTATTTTACAGTAAATCAATTCTCATTTTCAACCACACATTTTTTAATAAAATAATATTTTTCATCACATCAATAATTTTTTCTTCCTTTTCAACCACATATTTCCCATTATATCATTATTCAAAATCAATTCTTCCATAAAAATTCTCTCCTAAACAAGCTCTAAGATGGAAAAAATCAGAATGAGAAAGGAGCCAAATGGGGCTTAACCCATTTCGTTATTGAAATTAAAATACAATTCCTGTGAAGCTAGCAAAAAGGGTTAGGGAATTTATGCAATTGATACGAAGAAATCCCACACAGTGAGTGAGTGCAAATGGCGTCGCGGGCTTTGCTGTCACGGGCAAGCAGGATCAAGACGAAGCTGGAGGCGGCGCTGCAAGCCGCCTTATTGGAGGTGGAGGATGTGTCGTACCAGCATGCCGGCCACGCTTCCGTCAAAGACAGCGGCGCAACCGAGACCCATTTCAACGTGAAAATTGTTTCAAGCAAATTCGAGGGCCAGACACTCGTTAAACGACACCGTATGGTGTATGAGCTCTTGTCGGATGAACTCCAGTCTGGATTACATGCCCTGTCTATCACTGCCAAGACTCCCAAAGAAGCCGCCGTCAATATTAAGTAACAAAAATTCGATGGAAACAATTCGGTGATATATTTATTATCCTTTTATTTCTCTGAAAGAAAGTGAATTGTCTTTGTTGTCTGTTTGGGATAATTTTTGGTTTAATTTGCTAACAAGTTTGAATCTTTGTATGTTTATCTTTGTTGGAAATGTGAAGCAATGAAGCATCATTTTCTGTAGTAGGGTGTTCTCTATAGATTGATTATATATATAGATTTTGGTGGATAGGGATTTCTTAGGCTTAGAGCATTGAACTTAAGAATAGAACATACAAGTGACTTACTGGTGCAGGCCAGGCCAGGCGTGCAACTGAAAATTTTGTGTGATTAGCCTACTCAAATGATTTGGGGATTAAGGCACATAAACTGTTTGATTATTTTCCTTCGGCAGATATGACCATAAAGATCATACTAGGCCTGTTTACCAATCCTTGATATGAAATATAAACAATCTATAATCTAGACAGGACAGGACATGACCTCAAGAAGCACATACTAGTGACTTCATTTACTTGGCTTGTGATTGATTAACTATTCAATTGACACTAGCCAACTTCTGGTGTCATTCACTAACATATACATTTTAGTCACTTTCTTTCTTTTTTGATTGCATTTGCATTTTTATTTTTCCTTTTTATCTACGTTATAAATCCCACATTGACTAATTATCAAAATATAGACCAACATATAAGGGCTTAGATTACTTCTCTTATTATGGATATTTTAAGATGGAACCCAAAGTTTTAATATGTTATTAAAGCACAATAAGCTTTAACGAGTAATTCGATTCGATTAAGACTAAAAAACAAGTACATGGATTTCAAAATTGGTCTACTCAAACGAGCCACTATCAACCACTATCTTGCAGGACATGTTTAAGGATAAATTTCGCGAGCGTGTACATCTTGCCATATTAGGCTTGATTACCAATCGTTGATATGAAACATGAACGATGCATATAGATTTCTGTCATCTAGATAAAGCTTATCAAGAAGCTTTAATTTTTCATATGGATAGTGTCTGCATCAGCTTGATTTGTGGTCATCTATCTGTTTATGAACCAGCCAATTTCAGGCATAATACTTCCATGATTTTTGTCACTTCTTTATGGATTGCAAATGCATTTTTATAATCAATTGCCGTGGAATTTTGAAATTGTGGAGTTGGATTGATGAAATCACCACATTTCTTTGGACATTTTGATCTTGGAGGGTTCCGTAACATGGTCATCGTGGGTCTCCTCTTTAGTGATGGTATTGTAATGTGAGGCAACCACTGCTTTCCCGTCTTCTTGTTACTTAGGTGGTTGGTTATGGAATTTTTTGAAAGGTTACATTGTCATTGATGACCTATTTGGTTATGTGATTGACTAATTGCTTCTCGTTTTTACTATTCTAAATTTTTTCAACTCAAATTTCTGGAGAGTATGTGAAATATTTGCTATCTTCAGCGCACTATGATTGTTTTATGTAATGGCTTTCCAGTTCAAGAACATTGGTGAGTTATAATGTGAATACAAACTTGATAATTGCCTTATTTGCTTGATCTTATTTGTGAACTCGAAGTTATGAAATTGATACTAAGAAGCACGGGTTCTACTGATTTAATTGAGACTGAGCAGATGAAATTCTATGGATTTATGCAAATTTTTTTTACATTTATTGTTGATGAAGGGAGTGAATCATAGCGATGGAGAGGAGATGAAGTTGCTTTAAAGGGACAAAACTTTGAGCACTATCTGGATACAACCTAGGTTTGAATTTCTCATTTGAGCACGAGTTTCACTTGAACAAATTTTCAAGAACATTTAAACATTTCAGTTCTCAGCAGTGTCTCATTAAAATTTTGAATGGCGATTAGAACAAAAGACTAAAGCACAAGATGAAAAACCGGAGACAACACTAAGGTGTGAGGGGAAATATAAAAACAACAGTAGTTGCATGGGAAGGTCCTTGTATGGAATGTCCGAAAGATCTGTAAAGTAGAGGAGCAGAGAGGCCGATGACTATATAATTCCATTCAACTATTACAAGAAGCAAACAAATTAGAATATAAGAGTTTGATGTAGAATGAACTTTAAATGTGTTCCTAGAATCAATGGACTCTAAACATTACAATTTACACTTGATTAGCAACATGTTTGGGTGATTGATGTTTAAATTCATCAAGATAGTGCTGATACACATAAGAAATAAAGCCCCAAATAGCAAGCAGCAAGGCCATGGCTTTCACCCCATCCATTTTGTCATGGAAAAATACAACAGCAAGAATTGGAACTATGGGCAGTGAAACAGTACTAATAACATTAGAAAATAAAGAAGATACCTCAAATATCAAACCCAACAAACCCACAGAAGATATTTGCCATGTTATTGCAGTCCAAACCAGGGTCATAACGTAGGAAACCCCACCTTGTTGAAACCCTTTCATTTCTGCTCTCAAATTTGTCCATTCTCCACTAGCAAAAAGTCCCACAATAGAGGCACAAGTTGCAACAAATGACGGGTAGATTTGCATATCAAGAACAGCATCAAATGTTTCTCTCTTGATTATTTTCTTGAAAGATAGCTCTAATAGGGAGAGGTAGAGAGAATACGTGGCTGATGCACCGAGCGTGCATAGGAAACCAATTATGTACTTGGATTTGGAGACTTGGGTTGTGCTATCTGCAGAGTCTGGATGAACTGCTAAAAGGGTCGCAGAGATTGTGAGTAGCACAAGAGAGTTGAATGTTAAAGCAGTAAACTTTTGGGAATTCAGTAGAAAGGAGAAGAGGGCATTGAAAGCTAGTTGAGTTGCACATATGAGGGAATATGTAGAGACAGGAAGATACAGAAGTCCATATGAGTACATCATGTTGTCACCTGCCAAGAGTAGCCCAAAAAATAGGTACAACAACAAAAGGGAGGTGACGGTGGTGGTGATCGACTTGCTGGCTCCGGCTGAGGCCGAGGATCGAGGAAAGAAAAGTAAGAGAGGTATTAAGATAGGGAAGCCTGCTGATTGAACTAATGTTGCCATCCATTTGCTATTCCCACCTTTATCATAATATAATCTTCCCAAGAGGGTGGCTGTAGATTGACCAGCAAGTAGAAAGACAGTGTAAAGAAATATGCGAAGCCACCATCTCCAGCGTTTTTTTGCAGGAAGTTGCTGTCTTTGGCTTGTATCATCAGAATTTGATTCTTTCACTGGTAAAGAAACAAGAAACAGCAACAAATATTGAATTAACAAACTACGTTTTCAAATCGAGGAATATAGCTGCAACGATGAAATCTTTTGCTTCGAGGAGTGCTGGATGACCATTATTGAGGAAACAACCAAACAAAGACTTTTTACCGAAAATCAAAACAAGTGAAGGAAAATGACAAATAAACAAACCTCTTGTTGGTAGCTCCACTTCTTCAATGGCGTCCATCGCGAATTGGATTTACTTTCAGCTATAAAAAGGGAAATTGCATTAGACAAGCTTGAAAAACTAGTAGGGAGCAAAACTATCAGCCGCCTTAAAAAGATGGATTTACGGGGCAAACTTTGACTCTTGAGTCCCATTTTATGCTAAAAAAATTTGTGATTAAAAAGTAAAGAAAAATTTTGAGTCCACTTACAAGTTGCAAAATTATTTTATAGAAAAAAATGTATAGTTAAAAATAAATTTAAAAAAAATAAGTTTTTAGAGAATAAGCCTCAAAAAATGACTTATAATGATACTTTTGAATTATATAGAGGGATAAATTTCATATGCGATCACTTAACGTTCAACAAAATTTAAAATTTTAATTGGGTATCGACCTTTAATTCAGTCCAATTGGTTTATCGAACTTCAATTTTATTTCAAATTTTATCATTCTACCACACTTCTCAATATTGGAGCTCATAAAACTCAATTAAATTTTTGATTTTTTTTTTTT